GCTTGCCTTCGCCGAAGAGCTTCCACACGTCTTGATAGCCCAGGGCGGTGAAGGCGGCGACTTTGAGTTCGAGAAGGTGGTTTTGGGATGGATTTAGGTCGACGGCGTGGACGCGCCGGCAGTTTTCTAGACAGAAGGCGAGGATGTTGTCGCCGGCTGAGCCGATGGCTAGGACGACGTCGTTGGCGCTAGGCTTCAGGAGGCGCATATCAGCAACATCGTCTTCCCATGTGAACGCATAGATATACGAGTTGTTGAAACGCGTATGTTTGGGAAGAGCGGAATCGTAGTGGATGCGCCAGTGGTGGTTCTGGTACCATGTAGCAGGAAGAGGCAGACTGGACTGTAGATTCACCACGGCAGATTCATAAGCTTTTGAGTGGACTTCCACGTTCGCCTGAGTATCTCCCGTCTGTAGGTCAAGCGCGGCAAGGTATGGCGATTCTGTGGCAGCTGCGTCGATCTCAGCAAGCTTCTGCGTGGAAACACCGTGCTCTTTCGAGCAGCCCACCCAGATATAGTACGGCAGCTTGATACCGGTACCGAAGAAGCTGTTTCTGGCGTTGATGCTGAGGACTGTGCCGAAGCGGTACTCGAGGTAGTCCTATAGCGGGTTAGCAGGTACTTCTATACTTGGAAAGTTATGCGTACTCGTCGCGCGGGTTCAAGATTAACCCTGTCTATCTCGAACCACGTTCGCCAGAAGACACGCGAAAGCCACATGCAATGGCGGTCGATCGCACCACCCATGTAGTTTCGACCCATGAAGTCCACTTGATTCTGTACATAGAAATCGACGACTCCAACGACACCATTTGGGCTCATCAAGCTATCGATCGAATCGATTACAGGATAGAACTCGGGTATCATGCTCAGTGCGTAGCTCATGGTAACAAGCTCGGCACCACCGGCGTCGGCATTCTCGTCAAGGTCGCGGACAGCCTGGGCTTGGGAGATGATCTCCTTTCGATGATAGGCTTGTGGTTCGTGTTCGTGGAGGCGAAAAGCGCGCGCGTCCTGGCAGATGACTTTGACATTCGTCCATCCGAGACGGGCGAAGCGCTTGCGAGCCATATCACAGAGGCTTGGAGAGAGGTCGACAACGTCTACAAATGTCAATATTTCTTCGAGCCGAGCCTAGAGTTTGTGATACTCACAAACCGTGCGGAAGAAGCTTGCCACAGGAACGAAAGCGTTCATTTGTTCGACACTGGAACTTTGTCAAAAGGCGCATTAGGAGAGTGTAATAAATGCGTGGTTACTTGTGGCCAGTTCCTCCACCAATCTACCGCTGTTAGCAACTTTACTAGCTTCAAAGAAGGTCATCGCGTACATCAACCCAGACAGGGCGTTGTGAAATCAGTCCAGATTCAGCTCGGTGCTTCAACTGCGCTGCGACCAGCCCCAGCATGTCTTCGCGGCCTCTGAGCAGCCTAAGGCGGGTGGCATCATAAATGTCGGCCTGGGCTTTGTAAAAGCTCTCCTATTTGTCTCGTTACCTAGCATTCAACTTCAGGCAGTGCTGTTCAACGTACTAGAGCATCCTGTTGGCTTCCGCTTCCGTCACCTGTATGAGGCTTCAAGAAGCAACCGTATATAAACTTCAGGTAAGCTTCAAGCGTACTAGGCGCCTGTCCTTTGCTCTTCTGTCTGGAGGCAAGTACAAAGACTGCCGCAAGGAACAGCCCAACGATACAAAGAGTAATCGTTAGCTGATGGAACGGGTCACGAGTGACGAAAGCTGGAAGGCCCAGCATAGCTGCGGCGTTGGAATGAAGTAGTGACAATCAAGGAAGAGAGGAAAAGAGACGCAAAGAAAGCCAAAAACACCCCACAAACACCATGGAGGGGTTATATGAGAACCGTTCCGAAGCATCATTCCGACTTTGGTTCGTCACAATGCATGCCCACATGATATTAGACGGGCCACCGGGGTGCGTAAGGCTTCGTCCCCAGGTCTCATGAAGATTACCAGCCAATGGAGCTCGCCACATGTTCTGAAGATCTCAGTACGGGCGCGAAGGCAACCTTCCAGAGACGCGAAGTGGGATGTTGTGACTTTGCGGACTACCCTTCGTAGACAACCGCTAGAAGCGGCTATGCAGGATCTAATAGAACCGAGACTTTCTCCAGATCTCGAGGGAGCCGGAGGTCCAAAGACGCAATAAGCCTATCATGTGGAAGGTTTCTTGCGCGTGGCTTCGAGGTGCCTGGTGTTGAGGTCTGATGGTTGAGGTTCGTTGCTGTGGCCTGGACCAATAGGAGGAGGCGAGGGAAAGCGTGCCAGAATTACTGATGGAAATGCAGGGACGCGACAATTCTCGAACACATGGAGCGTATCGCAACAATTATCTGTCTCGCTTGCCGCATGCACAGCACTTTGACTTGTTAGTAAGTGGTCGACGGCCCCGGACGATATCGGCAATTGCCAGCCTTGCAAAAAAAGTTTCGCCAAGTGTTTTGACATGGACCTAGGTACTAGTTATCGCTCGCTATTTAGCTGAAGGTGTCGTAGTTAAGCTCAAACGTACTTAGCCGTCCAAGTTAGTCTTTGTTCGTCCCCCAAATAGACATCAATATAGCGAACATGCAACAGCCGCGGCATGCCCATACACGCGGTGAGCGTCACGGCGAGTCTTTAGAGACAATACCTAGGTAGCCTTCATCATGTCACGTTCGTATAGGAACTTCTAAGTCGACATCTTCGGATCTGCCACTGCTTCAGCCGGCATGTTCCTGTGTCATGGTTGGGGGTAGACGTACCATGTACCATTGAAGGAACACGCCCAAACCAGATGGCAGCATGTTATTAGAAGCGAGCCTACAGGTTGAATACAATATACGATCGAAATTTCCATCTTTGTCAACTGTGGTCGTCATTCTGCTATGGTACTGATGCTGAAGGCTAAGTATCAATCCAGGCCCAGCAGGAGGAGAGCGCACACATGCAAGCGGCTAAGCCACCCAAACCCGTTCACATCGTATGTGTGACACTTGGGTACAGCCTATGCATAGAAGTTGACGGTGTCCTTCTTCTTCGCCTGCACTTCAGAAATGGCGTCCACGTAGTGCTCGTGGCTGATCTTCTGGTGACCGGTTCGGAGGGCGATCATGCCAGCCTCAACACATACAGCCTTCAGCTGCGCACCACCGAACTCATCAGTACTGCGCGCCAACTCTTGCCAGTTGACACCCTCATCAACAGTCATTTTCCGCGAGTGAATGCGCATGATCTGAGCGCGAGCCTCCTCGTTCGGTAGCGGAAACTCAATCTTCCTGTCCAGACGTCCAGAACGGAGCAGTGCCGGATCCAGGACATCGACCCGATTTGTGGCGGCAAGGACCTTGACACGGTCATCTGATGCGAAACCGTCTAGCTGGTTGAGGAGCTCCAACATAGTTCGCTGCACTTCCCTGTCTCCCGATTTTTCAGAGTCGAAACGCTTGGTACCAACGGCATCCAGTTCATCAATGAAGATGATTGAGGGCGCCTTCTCTTTCGCTAGAGCAAAGCAGTCACGGACCAGCTTTGCACCATCACCGATAAACATCTGTACGAGTTGTGGTCCGGCAAGTTTGAGGAAGGTGGCGTCGGTCTGTGCAGCACAGGCTCGTGCGAGCAGCGTCTTTCCCGTACCAGGAGGGCCGTACATTAACGCACCTAGACTTGGTTAGCGAAAATGCTTGGGTGCCGGCGCAGATGGCTTACCCTTGGGCGCCTTGATACCGATCTTCTTGAACCGCTCAGCCTCCTTCATGGGCCAGACAACGGCCTCGACGAGCTCCTCGATTTGCTTGTCCAAGCCTCCGACATCGGTGTACTTCTCCGTCGGCTTCTCGTCGACTTCCATAGCCTTCACTCGACTGTCGTACTCTGCGGGCAGCGTGTCGAGGACGAGATATGAATCCTTGTTCACGCCAATCAAGTCACCGGGCTTCAGCTTCTCATGGTCGACTAGACCGATGAGGGGCAGGAAGATGGTCTGTCTCGTAGACGTCTTGATGACGGCTGACTTGCCCACACGGGTGGCGTCCAGGTCGATGTTTGCACCTTCCTCGGCCGCTTCCGCTGTCACGTCCAGATCTAAGATTTCGACCACGTTGCCGACGAGATACGGAAGCTGTCTGTGCCAAGTTAGTGTGCTGTCTGGAACCGAGCTGTTCATCGAAACACGGCGGGGCCGAGAACGGGCAGACGGGTTCATACCTGTTATTTTCGATCTTGTCGAGGTTGTCCTTGATCTTATCATTCATAGACGACTTCTCGTGCGAAAGCCGCTGGAACTCGCTCTTCATGATGCGCATGTCGTTCTCCAGTAACCGCCTCCGCGCCAGGATGTCTCGTGTGCTTGAGTTGAGGATTTCCTCGTCGAGCGGCTCCTCCTCCGGCTCTGCGTCCTTCATATCCGCATCGCCTTCGGTCTTCTTGCCGTCTTTGTCGCCGTCCTTCTTGTCATCGTCCTTCTTCTCTTCCTTCTCGTGGCGCTCAAGGTCGTCGAGATCTTCCAGGGTAGACATAGTGGCGGCGAGGAGCGAGCGACTCTGTGTGTATCCGGATAGATAAAGATGTGGAGGTTTGTGTAGCAGCTACTGTGGCTGATTTCACGAGTAGCAGGGCAGTGGTCGTGCGATGTCGATGTAGGTAGAGCTGTGTAAAGGCGGCCATGGATTACGAAAGAACGTGAAGCTCGGGCCAGGCCTTGGCGCGTCTCCCCGAAATGCACGCACACGCCTGTCTATGGCCTAGCACTAGGTACCTAACAAAAGTGCATGTGAATACCAATAAAGTAAGATCGTATGTGTCTTCGCAGTACTTACCTGCACTCTTCATGCGCTCATCTGCCCTACAAGAGAGAACGAGTTACGGCGCCCGCAAGCAGACCCTTATTTTACACGAGTGTGGGGCCATCACAAGAATTCCCGTCGGATGGCTGTATTGTTTTGGCACTATCTATTCAACACATTTTTAAAAATTCTAAATTAGTTCCTAGAACAAGTCGGGCACCATGGCCTAATGGTAAGGCGTTGCTTTCCGGTGGCAAAGATTGGGAGTTCGAGTCTCTCTGGTGTCGCATTTTTGTTTTTGCTTCTACTCTAGTTCGCTTCATGGTCGTGACTCGTCACGCGCTTACGGAACGTGGTGGCCCGAGGCGATTTTTAATGGCGGCGCGCGTGTGAACCGTTCTGCGTTGCCCTAACTCTACAACAAACGTTTCCTTCAGCACCAACGTATGGTCACTCTCTTTGTTTTGAATACTTCCTTCATTTTTCCACCCAGCTTAACACTGGTCTAAACAAAGCTCAGTATGTTTCCAGCAAGAGCGCTGCGGCGAACTACCAGCACCCCATGTGCATACACGAGACATACGTCTTCTCCATTCTCATCATCTCAGGTTGGTCAGACTGCACTTTGTGATACGGCGGTGTTCATGATACTTCTAGCGCATCCTCCGTCCAAATTCATCTTTGGCTGGAGGGACAATTCGAGAGGAAAGCACCGAAGAATCAGACAGCAAGGCATCGAGGGATCAGGAAGCCGCAAAACCAATACTCGCATCAGACCCTCTCAGCGCGAAAGTCGGTTCCAATTATGTAGCCAAGGGCAGAGCATTGGAATGGGAGATGCGCCGGCTGACTGCGGAAATCAAAAGAACTCAACAGCGCCGTCGCTTCGTAGAAACAACACTAAAAGGCCCGTACACAGTGCGTACCCGAGGTTATGGCAAAATACCAGAACATATAGCGGACTCTAAGATTGAGGTGAAAGACAATCAAGTCACATATACTGACAGGAAGATACCAAACATCTGGTTGCGCGACAACTGCCAATGCAGTAGCTGTATACACGATGCCACCAAGCAGCGCCTCCTCGACACGTTTTCCATCCCAAAGGACATTGCAATCGAGTCACACTCGTTTGAGGGCGAAGGACCTTCTAATGAGGTCTTGAACATCAAGTGGAGCGACGGTCACTCCAGTGCATATCCAGCAAGCCTCATAAAGCGTACCACCCGATCCGAAGAAATTAAAGGCGACTTGCGTCGAGGAAAGACCCACATCAACCTCTGGGACTCCTCCATCGCTTCGTCTCCCCCGAGTTGTTATTACCAAGAGATCCTTGGCCAAAGCCAACTCCACCTTCTCCTGGGAAAATTGCACAAGTACGGGTTTTGCTATGTGGACCATATACGCTTCCATGACCCCGCGGAGACGAAGGCGTTATTGGAAAGCATTGCTTTTATCCGACAAACGCACTACGGAGGCTTCTACGATTTCACCGCCGATCTGGCGTCCAAAGACACGGCCTACACCAACATCGCCCTGGAAGCACACACAGATACCACGTACTTCTCCGACCCAGCAGGCCTGCAAGCCTTCCACCTCCTGTCGCACACAGACGGCGAAGGCGGCGCAAGTTTGCTGGTGGATGGCTTCAAGGTGGCGGACGAACTGCTCCAAACGGACAAGAACGCATACAAAGTCCTGTCCACCGTAAACGTGCACGCCCACGCCTCAGGCAACGAAGGCATCTCCATACAACCCTACCGCGGCTTTCCCGTCCTGGAACACGATGTCGCAACTGGCGAATTGCTCCGCGTGCGCTGGAACTCGTCCGATCGAGCCAGCATTGAACTCCCGATCGACGAGGTGGAGACGTGGTATGACGCCGCGAGGAAGTTCGATGCCCTGCTCAAGAAGAAGGAGAACGAGTATTGGGAGCAGTTGGTGCCTGGACGCGTGCTCATCTTCGATAACTGGAGGGTGCTGCACGGACGCAGTGCGTTTACGGGGAAGAGAAGGATTTGTGGGGGCTATGTCAATAGGGATGATTGGATTAGCAAATATAGGATGTTGTTGCTTGGGCGGGAAAAGGTGTTGGAGGAGCTACCTGTGTCTTAGGCACCAGAGATTGTCATTTCGATGTAGAACGCACGGTCTTGGTCCGGCTACTACAATGTTCTACCGGACAAGTACAAAGATTCCTAATACGATCTCACTACCTTTGTGTCTGTCTCAGGACGCCGATAGAGAGTAATTCAGAATTTCGTCATGACAGCTTGGCGTATTCTATCACCGCCATGAAATGCGATATTGATACACCCCTCGGTTTATTTGAACAGATTTACACCCACCAAGCCCCAAAGAAAGCCTCTCTGTTTCTTTTTTGTTCTGTTTCAAGTACACCCTGCTTCACCGGCCCTCCCTCGCAGTCCGCTCCTGCTCGAGCTCCAACTCAGCTTGCCGGTAATACTTTGCCGTATCAACGCCATGATACGGGTGATTAACAAAGTTGGGCCACGCCAGCACATGTGCAAACGTAGCCGCAAACCGCGAGTTCCTATGCGCAACGCCCTGCATGTACTCGGTCATCTCCGTCGTTCCGTACAGCGGCTCTCCCTTCTTGACCTTGTCGACCATCTCGCGCATATCCATTTCGACTTCGCGCCGGTTCTCGCGCGCACCGTAGAAGCGCACTGCCGTGTCTCTCGTTAGCAGTCTGCCCTCATGGCCTGGTGTGTATGGGGGGCACTGCGCGTACTGCATGACCGCTGGTAGGCGACGAGGAAGCAGCCGGTTAGGCCAATGGCGCCCGTCAGTCGCAGGACGGGGGCGAAGGCGCCCTTGCCGGCCATGGAGGGTGCGACTCGCTCCCAGTAGAGCATCAGGCCGGGGCTCATGGCTCCGACGGCTGCTCCGACGGCCCAGTCCGAAGGGCGCGTGTACCGCATTACTCGTTTGAAGTGACTGTACTGGTGGTTAGTAGTCGCACGCGGTTTTTGGGGTCGTGGGGGAAGCGAACGGGTCATTGTCGATGAGCTGGGATCGGTTAGCTTGCTCTTGTGCGTAGGTACATGGGCCATTGACTCACCGGATACTCGCCGGTAGAGAGCTTGTCCGGGACAATTGCCTGATGTCGCACGGCACTGTCTTGCGCTGACATGGTGGTGATGTTGCTGTCTCTATATCGTGGTGGTGTTGAGAGTTGATGTTCAGTCGTTCAAGGCGCTCGGACCCACAGGTACCCTAGGGCCTACCAAAGCTCCCTTCCCCGCCGCGGTCTGACCTAACTTCGACCAGTTCCCCTCTTGTCGACAGTGATAGAGCCGCCTAAAGTGTGGAAAGGTTTGTATGATAGGTCTTCTTCAAAAGTACTGTGAGGCGATGAAAACAGCACCTCTAGGTAAACATGCTGGACATATCACTTCTCGTGTCGCTGTAGAGTGAGAGAGTAGGAGATGTTGTTGTATACGTTTGTGTTACATTAGCCATGAATAGGAATTACATAAAATTTGGAAACTAAATACAGAAGATGCCCCCGCAATCCACACATGGACATAAACAGTCAATGTAAGACCTGGGGTTTGGGTTACATTCAGGTTCAAGACTGGATTGGCTCTAGCGCGCGGCAAGTACCGTCCTCACAGTGCAGGTGGATCCAAAGCTCCTTCCGCGGTGCCATAACTTTTGTTTCTTGGCGCGTCACATAACCATCTTCCTTACTCGGTCAACAATGCGCGCGCGCACCTCGACGAGCGCCACACAACTACTCCCGCCGCGAAAATGGCTATGAAAGCCGATGATATGCAGGACCTCAAGCCGACGGGACTGTCCAGATCAAATGTGCCCGATGGCGCGTCCGCGGCGCATGCGACCGGGCCGTCCAACGCTCACGCCCGACCAACCATCGCGGACCTCCAAGGCGAGAATCATTTCGCGCAGGTAGCGAGGAAGAACTGGTTGGCGGCAAAGAAAACACCGAAAGTGCGGCCAGAGGTGGTCAAGAAAGAGTTATGGGATGAGCTGGAGGCCGTCAACTTCGCATACTCGTCGCTTTTGGTCCTGGAGAACCTGCAGCTGTTGGAGAGGTACCTGTGGCCTGGCTTCACCGAGGACGCGTCCAACTACCACCATCTGCTGTTGGCGCTCATGGTCAATGTCAAGAGGAGGGAGAATCTGCCGTCCTGGGGTACGTCACGCCTTTGCTACGCACATGGGAGGATGCGCTGACACTGACATTCATAGAACACTTCGCGACCCAACCCGCCGAGTTCTCTTCCTTTTTCCGCCGCATTCTCTCCATGACCGTGGACCCGTCGCAACCGAGCAAGATCCGGACACAGCTGATATCCTTCGTCATCGGCGCCTTCCAATCACTAGACAGTGGTCTTGTGCGAAAAGAGTGTGCTCCCCTCGTCGGCATATCGATATGGCAGAACCTCCACTCGGATGCCGTGCGCGAACAGTACTTTGACGAGCACACCATGCTGCGCAAGGCATGGAGGGCCGCATCAAAGCGCTTCGATGCTGGAGACGATGCGCTGAAAGCGAGACTACGATTTGAACGCTCATGGATCTATACGCTCCTATTAGACTTCGCGGACCGGCTATACAATAGCGACACAAGGGAGCAGGTTCGGGACAACATGGCCTACTGCGAGCGCTTCATGGAGCTCCTCACGGATCTGCAGAGCCAGTTGCCAACAAGGAGATATGTCAACGCGTTGTTGAAGGATATGAATATACTTTCAGCTATTCGACTATCGCCCATGTACACCGACGAGGACAATGGCTTGTTCCGGGACCTGTGCAACTTGCTGACCCATTTCACCAACTTCCCTATTGAGGATCAGACTGGCAGGCAGTTGTCGAAGCTGGAGTATGACCAACGCCATTACGACGTCCTAGCGAAATTGCAACGGATAGGCTATGCTGCGTTCCAAGAAAAGCTCCAACTGATGGCTCTGGCGAACTACAGCAGCATTGGCAACAGAGAAGAGCTGGACGGCCATCTCCGCACCTTGAGTGATGGCGAGCTTGTCGAGCTCTGCTCTCTCATGGGTCTGAGAACAGAGTACCCAAGCTCGATCTACTTGGTGCGCGATCGAGCCTTCTACATGGAGATCCTGCTCGCACTTGTCGAGCAGAGGCCGACTTTCAAGGACCATGTCCGCGATATGCCTGTACTACCGACAGAGAAGGTCCTGTACGAGAATACATTCCTCCGAAACGAGTTTTACGACGGATCCAGGCCGCTCGCCATCCCAAAGCTGAACCTTCAGTACCTGACAAT